CCCCCGCCGCCAATACGCAATAACATATCAGAGAGGACCTTTAGGGCATGACTGCCTGGATCCTAGTTGTTGACATGTTCTGTAGGGACTGTAAGAGACTTCTTCAGACTAATGGAAATGTCAGTGTGACGATCCCCAGCAGTCGTGAAAGGAAAACATGTTATTGGGGTTCAAGTAATCTGACGGCCAACAGGGCCCAAAAGGCAGCCATCAGAACCTGGCCATGCTCAGCTTTCCTGTAGCTTCAGTAAATTTATCTTCCATCAGGCCCATGATTTATTGATTCAGGCCCACAATTTATTGATTCAATTTTGAGAGAAGATAAGGCTAAGTTGGATTCTTTCCCCTCATGCTATCAATAAATCAAACGAAATGCCCATCTTACTGCTCAGGGAAGGGCCTATGCATGAGAAATTTCCCACATTCTAAGATTTAGTCATAGAAATGAGGATATTACTTTTCTTATTGAAATTAGCCTAAACAAAAGCCATATTTTAACAAATAGATATTTGCATGGGTGATACTTTTTATATATTTCAAGCAATTTACTCATTATTCTAGATAAGATTAGGGCTTCTGAAGGATTGAAATAGAGTTCAAGAATCCTGTGGGGGTACACAGGGGCCTCCGTTGGAGTTTGAGGGCACCCGATGCTTGCCATCGAAGTCCATCTCCATATATGTATATGATTCCTAGTACCTAGTAACAGCTCCACTGATATCATTTCCAAAACAGTGTTAGATGTCTAAGAGATTCAGATAGTGGCCTTTGACTGTACTCGTTATTATTTATATTATGAACTTTTCAAAACAATTCAGAATCCTCATATTAGTGTCAACTTTGGTTTACACATGCGCACGCACATGGATGCGCATGCGCATACACACACACACACACACACGCACGCACACACACTTCCTAATACACACTATCCTGAAGCCACCACATCATTTCACTTGTCCAATCCAGCCAACCAGCCATTCAGCAAATCAAGGAGTGCACAGAATATTGAAAAATTGAAGACTGAGACACTTCCCTGTGTCTTCAAGTTGAAGCTGAGGCTTTGCCCATCCCTCAAACTGAAAACTACAAGCAGCTATCTCAGTAACGCAGGCTAGAATCAGCTACCTAACATATATTGATATTTGAGGCAGAAGCCTATGTGGTGGACCATAGTACAGAGAGAATGAAGATTATCTGAATATCTAGATTATCACAATTCTCCATTCACTTCAATGCTGTAGACTGGAATGTCAAACCCAGGCCAACAACATCTCTGGAGCCTAATGTCTGGGGAAGACATCATTAGATTTCCCTGCTCTCAGCCCTGATGATGAATGACCAAAGGATCTGATGTCAGGGATTGGGGGTTCAGTGAGGCAGTTTGGAAATCTAGAGATTTAGGATGCTGGAGGGAGTGGAAAATTTTGATGACCTCATGTGAATCACTTTGTAGTCTATCTTGGGCTTGCCCTTTCTGAAACAGAATAAAATAAATTTATGGAAACCATTACTCCAAAAGATTGACCTGGTAGGCAAGAGAAATGCTTTCAGTTTATGTAAGACAGGACAATCCTGCTGCTACAGTAAACTGCAATATTCCTCCCTTTAAGGCTGTAGTGGGACAGAGAAGTCAGACCCAATCCTGCATGTCCCTGGGGGCTCCTGTTGACAAACTGAGACTGTCATTGTTGGACCTCTCTGGTGAGCTGTTGTGTTTGAGCTTTAGTGAGCTTCAAAACATCACTTGGCAGGGGGATAGCAAATGGATTTTGTCACCTGGAGGAAACCCGTCATGACCTACCTGATATTTTTAAAAGCAAACCAGAAGAGGGAGACCAGTAATTCATAAAAGGAGACAGAGAATCCTTCCCCCCTTCAAACATATTTATTGGGACAGAATTTGATGGAAGAAGCGACTCTCTTCCCACCCCACAACATGCCAAAAGGGCTAGAGAATTACCTTCATAGATACAAAAATCTTTCATAGCTTATGTACAGGTTTGCTTATATGCAGAGAAATAATCTATGATGCGTAAGTAATATTTTATGGCTTAAAACATCCTTTTCATTTATAATCCTCTTAAACCCATGGGATGTTGCTATGATAAATAGTGAGGAAATTTTAGGTTCAGGAAAGTTAAAAATGTTTCCTGGAGCTACACATGTGGTAAGTGGCAGAGGTAACACTTGTACCCAGGCTTTCGGACTACAACTCCTTTTTCTACCCATTGCATGCCTTCCTTCCCCACTCCAGACTCAACGAAGGCTGCCATTTTCAGCCTTTCATTGCCTCAAGACAAGTTCCATCCAAAACCAAGTTTCCATTTGAAAGAACATGAGCTCCTCGGGCTTTGGTTTAGAGTTACTCTAGAACCCAATTTGCTTGACTTAGTGACTATGCACTTTTTTCCTAAACATAGCTTTTTAAGGAAATGAAGTGTAACTATGGGAATGAATTCACAAATTCAGTGTGTAGGTAGCATCCAGCAGTGAAATGAGGAGGGGCTTATAGGCAGCACTGTCCCCACCACTTAGCAGCTTGGCCCGTTTGAACAATTGCCCCCTCCAAGCTTATTTCTTGCTCACTAATATGGGAATCCAAGCGACTATACAAGGCTGAGGTGTGTAATGAGGATTACACTTGAACACATGTAAAGAAGCCATACATGTCTAGCATATAGTGAATATCCAAAGGCTACCTTCTCTTTGCTCCTTCCCCCCCACTTTATGTTCTTAAATTTTGGAGTTTGTGTTTCTCAGTTCCAAATGACACACTCTATATCACACAAGCTCATCAAATAAACATATTTGAGCATTTCTCCTATCTCATGCCAATAGGCAAATTCACTGAACAGCATTTAAAGTTGTAACTTAAATAAGTTCTTTATTTTATGTTTGCTTCTTGTGTAGCCACACTATTTCACATAAAGTCTGTAATTTTTAAAGGCTTATTGCGTGAGTGTTTCATTATAATTTCACAGAAATTTACTGAAACATACCTCTTTGTAGAGTTTTCAGAATACCATTTTCAAACTTCATTGCAAACATGTAGTAAGACAAGCAAAACACGATCCTAAATTGATAGGATATCTTTGCACACCCATTTTCCTTCGTTTGCACCCAGGATGTCCTGGCATGTTCCTCTTTTTTTTTTTTTTTTTTCAGAACAATATAATCTAGGCAAAGTCTGCATAGTGATAAAGTTAGAGGAGTCAGGTCTCAGATTAACTCCTAAATGGAAGAAACCCCTTTGCTTATGGATGTTTCTCACCCCCTCCCATGATCTATCCAATAAGTAATTTTTCAGGTTCTACTCACTCTTTATGCATAAAACAAGATTCTTTTTTATGAATAATTTATAGCTTGAAGCTTTTTGGATTCAATACCTTAAAATGTCATCCTACATTAAGAATGGTGGGTGACTTGGTCTCATGATATTCATCATCAGGCTTGTCATGTAGTTAATATAGTTCTATTATTAATGGCAAGAGAGTCTAATATAATTGCCCATACATTATCCTTCATTTAAATAAGAATGTATTTTATTGAAAATAATCCTAACTCTAGCTCCCTATAAAAATGATAAATAAGGACACTTCCTTGTTTTTTTTTTTTAAGAGATAAACTAAATGTAAACTTTGTATCATGTTAATTATTAGTTATCATCATTGTTAAGCGAACACTTGTCTTCCATTCTTTGGCTTTCATTTGGTGATTTCCTTCTTGCCTGATCTTGACCTTTCTCTTGAAGAAGGTTGGGGGCCTCAGGCTGGGCAAGTTTTCTGGAGCCCTTTTGGTTTCTCACAGTCAGCCTGAAGTATACTTTCCATCTTCTTCAGATGAAGGGTCTTCATCAGTACGCCCTTTAGCAGGTGATAAGGTAACAAAAGCATTTTCCCTTATATCTTAGACCCTCTCCACTATGAAAAGGAAAGACAGAAAATGCTGTGTGTCAGAGCCAATTCCCAGCACCCAACTTCCTTCCAATTACGAGATGATTCTGCTCTCCCGCAAGAATCTCTCTGCAAATATCCATCGCAGCCTTCCTTCAGAGTAACCTTATTTTTGCAGAATAGAGACCTCCCTCAGTAACTTCTTAGTTTAGAGCCCTTCTCGTCCCTGGGCTGATACCTCTGATTTCAAAATCATAGGACAATATAATTTCACATTTGGAACAAAGATTAGTCAGAAATTATGGGGTTTAAGATTTAAAGTACTTTTTAAAAACGGAGAAGTTTTTCTTGATTTGTTGTAAGCCCTTTAGAAAATTTTAGGGCAGAGTCAGAGAGCATGATATCTTTTTCGGTATTTGCTTGACCAAACACTCTCTCACAACATGAAAAGATGCTAATTATGCACACATTCTGAGTTCTGCCTGTTTGTCTGGGGAGTTAGATCTCCAGCCATGCGTGTGAGGAAAA